TTTTTTTTTTTTTGGCAGTGTGGTTTTTCTATGCAGTCAAAATAAATCAGTTTCGAAACGGTCAAACCATTCTGAAAATTATATTCCAAGAACTCTAGCCTGTGCATGTTGCCTATTTTCCCCTGTTTTTCAAACCTGGCAACCCTACAGGTTGCGCTCTTTTGTCTGTTGTTTGCCAGCTTGGTTCTTTTGTTTATTCTCAGCAAACCACTGCTGGAAACATTTAACACATCACTGACTCAGCGATAAAAGACTGGATAAACTTATCTTAAATTTATGTTACTTTCAGACAAAAAAATAATAAAGTTCTTCTACAGTTATGGGAAGTTAAGTACGCTCTTTGATTGATATTTGAGTGGTGAAACAGTTGCTAAGTAACAGACAACATATTTGGTCATAGCCTTGATCTCTTTAAAAACTTCTTGAGATATTTTTGTTTTTCTTTTTGCTTTTTTTGTCATTTTCAAAAACAGGGAAAGAATAGATCAAAAAGTCTTAAGACTTTGCAATCCATCAATACTTTCCGCTCACTCAAGAAAATGGACAATAAGTTCTTCTGTAGGGGTGGGTCAGAAGTGGAACCATGTTGGCCACCAATAAGAAAATTGGTGTGCCACACTATGGAGATACTGAATCTAAAACTCTCCAGAATGCCGGGGTAAAGAAAAGTACTTTAGAGTATGAGTAAGGTTAATTTTTTTTATTTGTTTTGGAGGGTCAAAGTTGTGTCTATGCCTGATAGATGAGCAGATATTTGGATTGATAACTAGAGGGTCTTTTGTCAAACCTCAAGTCTTTAAATTATCCGGATCTCGATGTCCTTGATCAGACTGGAAATCTTGTAAGTATTCATGTGTGTAAAGCTTGTGGTATACTTGCTGTGTAGCTTTGCAGTCTGTATACTTCTGACTGTATCATGAGTGTTCTTGTAAATATACTTCACAACAACATATGTATGTTATTGGAGGATATCCCTGAAGGACACACCCTAAAGTTTAGACTGTATACAGCTACCAAAATTGTGGGGTGTAAACAACAGACCCAGCGATGCTCAGGGAGGTCACTCCTATCTGAATACGGAGATCGAGGCTCATATGCTAATTTTCAAAGGAACGCACAGCTGATGTGCCCAGCTAACATTTGGGATGTATGGCAGCCATTATGTATATGTACATGTAGTCAGTAGAAGCTCATCCTGTCTGGAGTTTTCAGCTGATTAACAGGCTGGAAAGCTTCACAAATCAAAAGTCTTGCTCAGGAGGTTTAAACTGCACTGTACCGCTGTGTTTGTGTGCAGGTTTGGTGGTATTTGATTGCCTCGCTTAATAGGCAAGACTTTTAGGATGCACGCATATATTATTTGGTATTCTCTGCATGGTGGGGAGCTGGGCAGAGGAGGGGAGAAAACAGAGAGTAGAGAGAAGATCGAAGAGAGACCATAAAGAAGGAATAAAAAAGAAAATGGTGTGGGAAAGGGAGACACGAGTAAGAGATATAAGAAAAGACAAAAGAGAAATCAGAAGCAAGAAATATTGTTAGATCTGTAGAGGATGAGACAAAGAGAAAAAGATTGAGGAGAGGAGAATAAGGAGAATGTGGACAGAGGATTAAGTGAAAAGAGAGAGAAAGGAAACAAGGAGGTTACAAGGAGATAACAAAAGATGTGAGGAAAGGGTGTGAAGTATGAAGGGTAAAAATAGGGAGAAAGAAAGAGCTAAAGTGTTGTTCTGTGTGTGTGTGTGTGTGTGTGTGTGTGTGTGTGTGTGTGTGTGTGTGTGTGTGTGTGTGTGTAGGCAGGGTGAGAGGTCTTCGTCTGTCTTCACCAGGATTAAGCTTCACCGTTATTACAGCCTCATTACATCAGTCCACTTCTTCCATTACATACACACACACACACACACACACACACACACACACACACTATCTCTCTCACATACACACATACACACCAAAAGCTATGCCACTGGTGTGCACTTTCACACACACAAGCTCACTTCCTGACATGCACACACATGCACATATGCATCTACACTCTCCAAGTCAATCATACTGCTCGAGGTCAGGTCCAGAGTTTGGTATTCTGTTAATCAGTTTATGTGCATGCATGTGTGTGTGTGCATATGTGTGTGTGTGTGTGTGCGCGCGTGTGGGTGTGTGTCTCTCACAGCTGTTCAATGCATTACCAACTAATATGACACTCCCGTTGCACCCTCGAACAGACACCCTGCTAATCTAATTTAGCTAGCAGCGGTAGCTTCAAACAGCAGTGTGATGCACTGGAGTTGTTGCTCACATACATAGCGCCCCCTATGTTCACACCAGTGGAATGTTTCCTGTATGAAGTCACTCATCAAGCCCTGACCTGCACATATTCTCTATATTTGGGACACAAACCTCATGGTGCTCATTGTAACGTGGTGGGTCATGTTTCAGGAGGACTATCTGTGGTGGGTAAATGGAACAGCGGCCTCACTCAGGTCTGGACTCAGCTGCAGGCTGCTTGCTGAAAAGTCTGAACTTGTCCAGTGTAAATGTAATATGGTAACTGTAATTTAACACCAACTTCTGTGTGCCTTTTTTTTTCTCCAATAGAATATCAAAAACACAGTTTTCAAAGCGGTTTCCTCTCGCACATTTTTATTTCACCATGATAAATGATGCATACACCGAAATATTAGATGTTTTTGAGTGTTAAACCCAAGATCACTTTAACTATAACATAGTACTCCAGGTTCAATCATGTCATGTGATCCTATCTCATAAAATAATAAAATATTGATTTTCATAATTGTATAGTTTGAGTTTTAAAATGTCAGCATCAATATTGATACTGCATTCATGTGTTTGAGAATAACACTAACTGCATGATTAAGATGATCACTCAGTGTCGTTATTCCAAGATTATTGAGATTGTTCACTGATGTCCACTGACCCTCAATTTTCAGCGCGTCTGGTTCGGCTACGAAAGGGCCGTGTCCGCTGATCGTAACTATTCAAGTTAATGTACCGATTTCCACAGGCTTCTTTATGTTCCGCTGCGCATCGCCAGACTCCGCAGCTGATTGCAAGAGTTCTTTATTTTTTTTTTCGGATGCCAGAGCATGCCGGATAAATTGAGAACAGATGAACCCTTGCTGGAAAGGAAGTCGGGCACAGACACAAAATAAAACATCTGTCTTCTTTTCAAAATAAAACACAGTGTTTCAGACGGATCGTATTTCACACCATGCAAATGAGTGGGGACTAAAAAGTGAAAGGTTTTTAGACAGCATTTCATCCCAATGACACCATGGATGAGGAGATGCTGATTTTAGAAGTCTAGAGGTGGATTTCCTCCTCTGGAAGGACAGAATCTACTGCTAATATGGTTAGCCTCTGTGGCTGTCTTTATAGCGACAACTCATTATCACGCTATTGCACATGAATCCACAAGTTCTTGTGAGTTCTTGCGATCACCGCTGTCCATAATCCACCACGTAATTCGCCTCACAAACAGATCCAGTAGGAATTTACGGACAGCGATAATCGCTGCCGTTCCGGATCAGAGCTGTTCTGGATGTAGTGGAAATTCTGGTTGACCCCCTGTTAAGTGGACAGTATTTGTACTTAATAGGAGTTCCAGTTTGTTTGCTGTCGTATGTGTGAAACTACCGTTCCCTGCAACAGTGAGGCAACGACAAGCCGACCCAAAGACGTATCTTAGATCTGAGTCTTCCCCAATGAATGTCCTGCAGTCAGTTGTAACCTGCTTGTCGAGCAATGCTGACTTCTTCAATTTAACCTTAACTACAGGTCAGTGATGATTATACACTCCTAAACGGTGTCCTGCTGGCTTTTTTGATGCAGTTGCACTTTGACCTCTGTCTGATTAGTTGCATCTGTATGCTTACATTGTAGGTGGAAGTTCAGTCTTCGGTGATATTCTAATCTGAGCCGTTGTGGAGATTTTCAAAGTGAAATCACAAGTTATCAGTTGAATTAGGGAGGTTGAGGTTGATAAAGTAAGAGTTAAGAGTTCAAATTTTTAAGCTTTTCAACAAAATAAACCATCTTAGATTAATTTCATAAAGGTCAAGCTAGCTTTGTGTTGAGCCCTTATGAGGAACATGAAACCATGAATAAATCTCCGCCATCCACTCACCAGTGCTGACGTTTTATTTTTTTTCTAAGTGATGACATTTTGATGTCCTTTTATGAATGTGGATGCATGGACACGTGTATTTGCATGTGTGTGCATGTGTGTGTGTGTCGGCTGGCTGCTGTCCAGGAGACTTAATGGCCAACACCGTTTGCTTTCATGGCCTATCTTTCCAGCCCGCTGCTCATAGGAATGTAGAGTACACACACACACACACACACAGAGTTATTCTGCTCTCTTCAACACATATGGTGTTTAGGTCAAATGCACCACAAACACACTAAAAGCCTCAACAGCCAATCAAGACGACTCGAGCCGTCTAGCTGTCTTGATTGAAGTAGTCCAGATTATGCATGACTTCTCATATTCACTGCTGCCCATGTGGAAATAGATCTCAGCTTTTGTTTGAAAGTGTTTGCTCTCGTTTTCTCCTCTACCCCTCTTTTTCGCCTCTCACCCTCTCACTCTTTGTCTGTCCCCGATCATTGTCGGATATTCTGTTTATTCTGACACAGCCCAATAAACATAAATTGTTCCTGTGCGTTTGTGTCTCTGCAAGTAACTGCCACATTTTAGCAGCAGGGTTTCACCGCATAGGTTATAGTGTGTGTGTGTGTGTGTTTGTTTGTGTGTGAATGTGTGTGTGTGTAGCATGGACAGTGGACAGATGGTGCAGGACAGCTGGTCCAGAGTGACAAGTGTGTGTGACCCGAGCCTCTGTGGTGGTGAAAGAAAGAAAGACAACATTGACGGAGAGAAACTATTTGAAGAGGAATATTTCAGCTAGCCTGTGATTGCCAGGAGCGGGCAAACAGATGGGGGAGGAGGGGGGAGGTTTTGGGGACATCTTGAATAGATTTGTAGCAAATGAGAGAAAGGGAGAGAGGAGAAAAAGAGTGATAAAAGGCGAGCAGAAACTTTGTCTTTTCTGCCAATTTGTTTCCTTTTTATCTGGATAGTATTTGGATTTCTTTCTGATGGCTACAAATGTTCTTCCTCCTCTTTTAAACTCCCCCCTCCCCTCTCTCGCCCCTCTCTCTCTCTCCCTCCCTCCCTCTCTCTTTGGTTTGAAAGCGTGGTGCAGGTGTCGGGTCACTTACTGTAAACTGCAGCGGCTGACTGATGAATCCCTCATTTCCCTAAACAGGCCGGAGTAGACGATTGACAAGAGGTTCATTCTCACACTGAGTTCAAGTGAGAGGCCTCAGGGGAGGAAACACTTTCTGTCTCTAAAACACACACACACACAAAGACACACACACTACTACACACCCTAATAGAGTAAGAAAGGAGTAATGCGATCCGTCTCTCTGCTTACTGGAGCAATGATGACAACCCTGCTCTTCCTCACTCTGACTTCAAACATGACTGTCCACCTGTTTTCACCTGCACTGAGAATATAATGTCTAATTTTGTGAATGAGGTCGAAAAGCATTAAAAAAGGGCCAAAGTTAATTACATTTACTGATTAAATCCTCTCTCCCAAGGATGGCTGAAATATCAATGTAATTGATCACAAAGACACAGCAAGTTTATACGGCACATTTCAGGAAAAGGCGCTCAAAGTGTTTCACATGAAACATAAACAATAAATAAATGAATTAAAGCTCCTATGGGGAGTTTTTTTTTCAAAATTAATGATACATTTGATGATCCAAAGACAGCAGGGTTGGATTTTTTTTTTGTCCAAAGATATATTCATGTATGTTGAAAAGTAGATAAGTAGGATTGCTTTTTCTACAGGGGGCGCCAAATTTGATACTAAACAAAAGTTCCTCACAAAATTTTTAAAATATTATTAAAAAAGTTAAAGTTTTACAGATTTATTGTGCAAAAAAGTTAAACTTGCTGAACTTATTAAGGCTGGAAATAAAGTTGGTCAATCAATTAGTCATTATGGATTAATTTATCTATTTAGAAACCCTTTTGCAAAGTTTTTTTATTTTTCATTTATTTATTTATTTTTTAACATTAACTCGGCGTAACTTCATAAATGTTATGCTTTGCTCCTAGCTTTGAAGATAATCTAAATTTTTCTTGGTCTTTGAATTTTATGCAAAAGAAAAATAGGAAAATTAAAATGTACTATCTGTTTAAGGAGGAATCATGGACAGTCTGGGAACTTTTAAATACAGACCAGTATTGACAGAATACGGCAGAGGCAGTGTTGAGTCAGACAAGATAGCATGTGTTAGTTAGAAACTATCAAGCAAAAACACAACAAAACTACTGGGCAGAAATCAGACAGGAGCTGAATGACGGTTAGATCGCAGTGATGTGGAGTTAGAGGTTTGTGCGTGACTGGTTTGTTGCAAGCGCTGTCCAGTGGATGCAATGGTTAGCGTCCATCCCAAAGAAATGGATGTGTGAGATAGTGTGGGTAGTGACAGTGCTCAACATAAATGAGTATTCCCCTTCAGAGCTGTCAGAAAACCTCAAGTTTCCTTTCAAAATCAACATTTTCTCTGTCAGACTATACAACAAAATACTCCTCCAAATGTAGGCCATTGATTGCGAACAATATTTTTTAAGTGGTATATAAAAACAGTGTTTTTTTTTTCAATTTAAAATCAGGATGCAAAAATGAGTACACCCCAATCGAAGTTAAAATTTAGTCACTATATCACCCATTTTCATCTTATGGTAAATAAAATGTTAAGTTAAACTCAGCTTTCTCAAAACTTTGGATATTGATTATACATTACTTTAGTAATAGAGGGTGTACTGACTTATGCTGGCCACTGTATATGTCCTTCTATCCCAGTGAGGGTTTGTGTGCCTTCATTTAAGATCAGAAAAGTTTTTCTTTTCTTTTACTAAACGATGACTCATTTCAAATGATGCAGACTGTTGAAAGTTTAAGTGAAATATTCAATTGAAAACATGAACAGAGTTTCCCACATATCCTTCAGCAGCCATTTGATGAATGTCTCTGTGTTTATGTTTGGACACTAACAGCAGTTGGCTGAAGGTAAGGAAAGATCGTGTCCTTAGTTTTTAGAGGAAGTCAAGACTGAGCGGAAGCACGGGGACGATATGTTTATTTAATTGAAACCACTCGTACTTTAACCAACATACTCTATTGACTGAACTGCAGCGTGACGAAGACTCGGGGTGTAAATCTGAGTCTTCTTCTGAGTGTTGAAGTTCTGCATAAACAGAGACCATCTTATGATTTACATGAAGGACAGAAATGAGCCGCTAAAAACCTCAAGGCAGCCCAGTCCAGTCAGTGATGAAATGTTGACTTATTTATACTTTTAAAGACTGTGTCACTCCGTCTGTCTGTCCTTTCATCCGTCTGTCTCTCTGAGTGTGTGTGTGTGTGTGTGTGTGTGTGTGTGTGTGTCTGCCTGCATGAGGAGGAGGAGGCCTCGTCAGCATGTCACTCAGGCTGCTGGGTAAACACAGGAGAGGAAAGACAAAACCGCACAGAGAGCTGAATTAAGAAGAGATGTGTGTGTGTGTGTGTGTGTGTGTGTGTGTGTATGTGTATGTGTGTGTGTGTGTGTGTGTGTGTGTGTGTGTGTGTTTTTGTGATGGTGTCAGCCTGTCTTGTCATGGTTTGTAAACTGTGAATAATGACACCAGGGTGAGAAAGCCATCGCCACTTCAGCACTCCTGCCGCCGCTCCACACACGGACACACACACACAGACACACACACACATTTTGTCCCTCTTTCTTCCACTAACTATATGACCACTCTGTCCTTGTGTTCAAACCAACTCTCACTAACCTCAAACCATCTCTCCTAAGCTGTCAGTCAGACTGAAGCTGATGGGAGAGGAAAATCCTGACCTCTTTATTTGAGCGCTGATCAATTCTTGATGAGCTGTAGATGTTTGTTTTGATGGGTTTTTTTTTTCTCGGCTTGTTTGTTTTCCACGCTGAGCTGTGGGAAAAGGCAGATGGGCTGTAAGCTTTTAATGAGTTCCATTTAACAGCTTAAACCAGACGCTCAAAAAAAAAAAAAAAAAAATTTCACATCAGTGTTTTACTTCCAATCAGCCACTGCCTGCTCTTGTGGTCATCTGACAGCGAATGGAATCGAAGAAATAAATGATTGATGGATGAAAAGTGTGATGCAATGATTGAGCGATTAGGAGAAAAGTGCAGCGATTGATGGATGAAGCCGATTGTGTGGGAGAAAAATAGATGAGAAAGCGCTAACTCTGAAAATGACAAAGGATCGTTGAGTGTCAGATTGATATGTTATCCTGCGTTAGGGGCGCTTTTATTGAGGTATTTTTGTGGAAAGGAGGCGGGCGAGGAGGGAGGAGGCTTCTGCAGCTTATTGGGTCATGGAGTTTGTGGCAGATCAGGTCAAAGACGTGGGTGAAAACTTTCTGACCTGGCAAAAGCATGCAGACACACACACTTTCTGCACAAATCCACACAAATAGATCCAGACTTGCGTCCATGTGCTGTCACTTTCTATTCATCTCTTCTATTTATTATTGTAAGGCAATGTAAGAGGCAAACAGGAAGAGGATATGATGTCATTGACCAGCAGTTTGTGGTCTGGCAACTCGGACAGCAGTGGTCATTTTAGCTGCGCTTTGTGTGTCTGTGTCTACATCTTGTGTGTGTTTTGGATGCTCTTCCAGGCGAAGACTGCAATAAATTTTGGCGGTAGTGCTGAGCTGGTTTTAAGATTCACACACACACACACACACACACACACATAAACACACACACATGCACACAGCCTATCTGTCATAGGTGGGGCGTAGGTGTTAGAGCCAGGGTTATTGACTCGTAGAGACGGAGACAGCAGTGAGCAGCAAGTGAACACACTGCTATCGGAATACAATTAATACTGTCTGGCTGATGGATTAGACTCATTACACAGGGACCAGGGCAGAGGAGGGCAGTGGAGGGTGGAAAAGATGTGGGAGAGAGAGAAAGAGAGAGGGAATAAGAGGAAAAGGAAAGGAAGACAGAAAGGAAGGAAAAAGAGCTTTAAGACAAGATGTGTGAGGGAGAAACATGTTAAATAAAAGGGGAAGTGTTGAGTGGAGGGGAAATTAATGGATGGATGGAGGGATCCCAAATTTGACTCAAGAAATCGTTGGATATGTTTCTATTTCCTTAAAATATCAAGAGAAGTTACGAAGAATCAAACCTCTAAATTTGACTTTCTTCTGTTACAGAAAACCGTTTCATTTTGAATGAATGAGTTATTTTCTTTGAAAACAGATATTATTTGATGCCGGAAAAAAATGGTATTATCTTGTGTTTTAACGACCAACCAATTTTCAAAAACACTTTTTCAATGTCGTGAAAATCAAGGGAAAGAACTTAAAACTGTATTTCAATCAGAAGAGTCTACTTTATTGTGTGTGAGCAATGATTCCTCTTACAAGATTAAGAAAAGACTGTCGAATGTGCGCTGTTTGATGATGAGGCTGACTGAAGGATGGGATAACCCCCAATAAAGCCTAGACTCTAGTGGTGATGGCCATGAGGGATGCAGGTTGTAAGGTAGGCGCATTTGAAGAACTAAACCTGGTGATTATGTGTGGAGTGACCGGTAGAGGAGGGTCACAACTTTCTGTGCTGTAGCTACAAAGTGAGGAAACAAAGAGAACAGATTTAAAACTCAGCAGCAGCAGGATGATCAGCTGATGAGAAGTTATGGAAAAAAAAGAAAACACTCATAATTCTGTGATGAGAAACAGCTCCACTGAGCTGTATTTGAGCTCTGATATGGATTAAAGTTTAGAGATTGGGATGGATAATTGGAGAAGTAGGGCTGGGTAATAAACTGAAAATTTACCAATACTGAAATTTACGACAATAACTGTCGTTATTTTGCCCATATCAGTATATTCTGTATAAAAAATGTTTCTGAAAACTGTAGCATCCAAATAGTATGAAAAGGGATTAGGGCCACATGAAGAGAAACAAAGAAAATTACAGGAATGAGATTAAAGTCGAAATTTCAAGATTAAAGTCGATGCAAATAAAGACGAAATTTCATTAATAAAGTCGTAATGTTGAGATTAATAATAATGAATCAACAGCATTTTCACTCATCACTCCACAACATG